TTATTATAATCAATAAGCAACAAAACTCTCTTTCTTTTTTTAAAAAAAAATTAACATATATTAGATTGAAAACTAAGCTTCACTCTTTATAATTTAAATAAAGTTTATCTTTAATACATTAAAATCAATTCGATAGATTTAAAATTTATATAAATAGAAATTTTGTAATTCCAATATTTAAATAAACAGTAATAAAATATAGCTCTATATTAATATATGAAATTTAGGAATTCAGTTTAACTGTTAATAATAATAATTTACTTTTTTTATTCGTTATAAGTTATTATAATTAGGATAAGATATGGGTCTTCATGTAGATCATCTAGGGAATTGCGACCAAAATTTCCTTTGATAAATCTTTTTAATATATTTACTAACTGTAACCTGTTGCGTTACAACAGGATTAATTAGTTTAAATCAACATGATATACTGAATATTAGTTATTACAAAATATAAATTTAAGGTTTTTATTTATTTATAATTTGGATTATAATTTGAGTGAAAAATAAAAATTGATTAAAATTTTACTATGTTAAATAAAATAAAATAAACTATAATAATTAATAAAAAAATGGAATAATATTAAAATAAGTATTAATTATAATTATTTAAAAAATTATATGAATTAAAAAGAAAATTATTCATTTTATTTTTTTTTTTGGCTGGATATTTTTAAAAATCATGTTTTTATCCTAACTATAAAATTATATAACAGATAAAATATATTTAATCAAATAAAAAAAAAAAAATTTATTTCGATTACATCGCAGCACTGGCCCGATTCAAACTAAAAGCAAAAGAACAAAAAAAATTAAGAAAAAAGAAATTATTATAAAAAAACGAGAAGATCGAAAAAAAAGATGCTTACCGTGGCACCGCATTATCGATCTGATCGATCTGATCATTGATCCAAAACCTAAAAGGTGAAAGAACGAAAAAAAAGTAATTAGGGAAAAAAATATTACTATATATATTATAAAGGGGTAAAGAAATTAAAAAAACAAAAATATTAGGAAAAAAACATAGTTTAAAGAAAATCTGAAAAAAAATTTCTGTTTTAAAAAATTTCGGTTTAAAAAAAACCGAAAAATTTTTAAATCAGTGTTCTGCTTCAGGACTTTTTATTAGTATTATAAAAAATAAAAATCGATTAAATTTTAGGCAAAAATCATCACGGATAAATTATTTTAAACACGGAATAGATCAGGGTACACAATTCAAATTAGTATTTATATACAGAGTATCTAAATATCATCAAATTTTAAAAAGGCCTATACGTTTAGTTACTCCATAAATATGTGACTTCTTAAATGTAAGAAAATTAAAATATAATATGATTAAAGGCAGTTTTGATTTTTGAAATCAATTAAAAAAAATTAATAAATAGAATTAGATTCATAAAATTTAAAAATTATGTCGTATCCTGATCAATTTTTTTTATAATAAGGATTTTGTTTAGCGAATTTCAATAAATTTTATGTTCTTTGATATATACTTTTCATGATTGAAACAAATACTAGTAATTTAAAATTTTATGATTTAATTAACGATTTATTATTGTATATCAAATATTCAATTATTAAAAATTTCAATTATATTAAAAGCCTTATTTTTACTTCAATATTATCATAAATAATTATCTGTTATATCATTCACATAAATTTAAAATTTTATTAGATTTTAAACAAATTTAAAAATTTCCTTTGTTTGGAATGAATTTCAGCTGCTGGTTTAACTTAATATTAGTCAGTCAATTTTAGTTTATTCCAATCTTAAACGCTAAGTTTTTGAGAAAGAGATTGTGAATAATCAAGTCGTTTACTGGTAAGCGAATTTTGTGATTTTTTCAGTGGTATTGGATTTGTAGCCAATTCTGCTAATCGTGCTTTCCACTTGACTTCTCTTTCCCAGTTAAATGCTTCCTTAATTTCTTTAATTTCCTTAATTTCTAGCCCAATATCCTCATTAAGATAGCTTAAATTGTCGATAAACAACGCGTTCCGTAAATTATCAATTTGATCATACAATTTCTCAGTTGTCGGACGATTTGTAGGAACAAGATCCCAACAACGTTTCATTAATACAGCATATGGTTCAGGTGTATATTCTGGAATTTGTGGACGTTGACCATAACAAATAGCCAAAGTCAAATTCTCATCATACTCCCTATCAACAAAAGGTGCCTCACCACTAATCAATTCTGACATTATCATCCCAAACCCATAAATATCTGCTGCTTCAGTGAATTCTTTACCAAGTAAAACCTCTGGTGCAACAAATGGTAAGACACCATATGGTGTTTTGTCTGTAGAACTTTGATCCATAGGACGACACAGACCAAAACATGAAATTACAGACTTGATTTTATTGTTTGGGTGAATTGAGTGCAAGATGTTACCACTGTGAAGATCCTTGTGGAAGTGTTTTGAATCGTGAACAGAACACAGTCCTTCGCAAATTCTCATTAATATTTCTATGATGACTTTCCAAGTTAGGTTACTGTGATTTTGTTTAATCATTTGCCTTAGATTGCCACCATTTTTGAATTCTGTAACAATAGCGTATTCTCCATTTTGTTGATCACGAGTTATTCCATAAATTTGAATAGTATTAATACCATATGTCGCATCATTCATTTCTAAATTAAACTCAACCTTCAATATATTTAATTTATTTTGTGAGATTTTATTCCTAAAACCTTTGATACATGAAAAATTAATTTTAATCACATACCTCATTCAAGAAAGCTGAGCTGACATTAGTCACATTCTGGAATTTCTTTACTGCCACTTCCTTTTTATTTTCCCGTCGCCATTTAGATTTATTAAAGTCCAAATCCATGATTGGACCATCTTTCCAAATTGCTTTATAAACACTCCCAAACCCACCATGAGCGATAAGTTCAATATTTTCAAGATTTGAGTATTCAATCCATTCAATTAATTTTATTGGAGAGTTTGCATTGAGTTGTGAATTTTGAATAAGTTTGTCAAGATTTAAGTCGCCGCTAGTCCAATGCGCAAAATTATTGCGAAAATGTACCAAGTTGCACGTTTTGCAATAATCAGAATAATCAGAAATTTCTTGATAACATTCTTGACAGATGTACATCCTTATTAATTTTTATTTTGAAACTATCTAGAAAGTAAATTTAATATTCTTGTAATGGGGACAGAATAAATTTAAAATTACATATTGATTACAATGATAGAAATACTTTATTTATATAAAAAAGATTTACATAGAGGCGATAGATGACCAATAGCCAATAATCTTATCCACACGTAACACGTTTTTTGAAATACAAATTATCACCATATAAACCCTATTCAATTCTGATTTGCATGTAGGTCAGGGGTGAACACTGTAAGACCTACGCCGCAGTAAACTACGTTTGCCACTGCAGTAGTGCAGTCTTAACAAAAATGATGATTTATTAATAATATAAAATTACACGAATATAATAATATAATGCTTGGTTTAATAATATTTCCTAATAAAATAATTCCTAATTAATTTCTTTTATGTTGCTCCAAATCCTTACCCTTTTTATAGAAAATGATTTTCTTCAAAATAAATAAGAATATTTCGATTCTACCTTTTTGAAGTCTCTCAATTTTAATTCTCCCAAATTTCAGTTTTTTTCTTTTACCCACTTTCTCGTCAGAAATTTCATTTCCGATATTTCATAATTATACCTTTTTGATCTTCAAATCCCTTTCCTTATTTAGTAATATTACGATCCTAATTCCTTTACCCAAATCTAAAAATAAATGCGAACACAAGAGATAAACATTAGTTATACTCGTGATCCCGGAGTGTTTCACTAGAAATATTTTCAATACACTTAAATATAATACTGCGCCCTACACTTAATAAATTCACTAGCCAAAATTGGTTGATCCGATACGATGACTAATTATGACTCATCTAATCTTATCTGTCCATGGGTGCAACGACTGCAACGTTCAACCTGAACTTTCAAATATAATAAATAATTGTAAACTTCAAAAATTAAAAAACATAACAATTCCGCAGTAAAATTTTAATTTTATTTTACTCAGTTTTTTATTAAAATGGAAGATACAAGAAAAATACAAATAGCCGAAAATAAGTTTCCTATGTTTATTATGGGTGATGAAAATAGGTTTTTAAAAACTACATATTTCCAATATATACAATATTGTGAAAGTCTTAGTGCTTCATTTTTTAAGGGACGTTCAACAGAAGTTCAAAATAATATTTTAAAAGCAAATTTTGGATTAACAAATGAAGACATACTCAGTTGGGAGAATAGAGCCTCTCGTTACCAAATGACTCCTCAAAGTTTCTCATTTTTTTTACATGTTGCTATGTACT